CCTTCAAAAACAAATGGGACAATATCTTTGGACATCTTCCTGGTTTCCAGCCCTGGGATGACTCCGTTGCCGTGCGCAACATGTTCCTTGCCAAAGAGAGTGGATCTACTAAAGTCCCTACTCATCTTTCGTACGATGCGTGGGATTGTACTGCCTTATTCCAAGCCACCATCTTTTCAAAGTCCTTTTCCATGCCAGACGGTGGAGGCCATCACAGAACACTCAGCTACTTGTTCGTGAGACCCCACAGACTTCCTACCGGAGGGTTTCATGCTTCTGTGATCAGCCGGACTGGGAACGATGCTGAGTCATTTGCCTTGGCGATCGATCAACTGCGACTTTTACGAAATGCGTTCTGCCACTCACCCAGCTCAGAGATCCCAAAAGCAACATTTAACATGTACCTACAGCTTACTAAAGAGACCTTCCAAGCCCTTGGCGTCTCATCAAGTTCTGTGAATGCAATTGGAAGCTTAGCTGAGAAAGACTTTCCGATAGGAAAAGTTCCCGAGCTCGAAGATAAGATTAGAAAAGAGCGTCAAGCTGAAATCGCTTTTCTTAAAAAACGAGTAGAAGATGAGTTGATAAGCATAAGGTCTGAGAACACAGAAGCAAACCAGGAGCGGCGGAATGAGGCAGAACGAGTCGTAACAGTTTTAAGAGAAGAGATTCAACAGTTGGAAACGCGGTTGCAAGAACAAAATGAAAGGCATTCTGAAGAGATGAAGAAGGAGAAGACAGAGCTTAAAGAAACCATTAGGTTTGACCTCGAGCGATCAAACCAAGCACGAGAGAAAGACGCAAAATCAGCAGCTCAAGAGAGAAAAGAAACGAGACAGCAACTTGCTGAGATAAATCAAAAGTTGGAGGAAATCCCTAGAGAAACTACGAAACAAGGTAATATTGGCGCTACTGTTTGTCTTTCAATACTTCATGGCAAATTCAAATTCGAGACATTTTTCATTAGATTCTTATCTACTGAGGGAGAACTACCAGAAAATATCCAACAAAGCAATCATAAAGTAACAAGGATACTCTTCTCTGTAACAATTTTGGAGAAACACGTCCCGCATCAATTTTGAGGTTATGGAGAAAATGATTCTGACCGATTAAGATTACCATACTTTGAATAAAAGTTTCAATACCAGTTAGCTTAGCTGCTGTGCACGATTCGAGGCTGAGTTAATACCTACAGCTAGTTCAATGTATACATATGATCATATTCTTAACGAAAATCTTTTATTTTCTTATTAAGTAGAGTCTAATCCCAGTCTACCAAAATCAAATCTTCCTTCAATGGTTCCTTACTTCACTGGGCGCGAAAAAGAGTGCGACGAAGTCTTTGCACACGTGACCAACAAAGCCACTCACCTCGTTTCCATCTGGGGTTCGCCAGGTTTCGGAAAAACGTCGACTGCAATCGCTGTAGGACATCGCCTCCAAGCACAAGACCTGCCAGTATGCTTTGTCTCGTTACGTGGGATGAGGCTAACAAGTGACCTGACGTCGAAATTTCTTGGTCTGTTTACACCCCAAAGTGTGTCAGAATCCCAGCGTTTAAAAGAAAATAACGAACTTTGCTGGATTTTCTCTTAGATTCCAAATCGCTGCATATTCATCCTTGATAATGCTGATGATCTTTTTGAAAGTGGCCTTCCCAACGTGAAAAAGGACGTTTTTCATTTTATTGAAGAACTTGTCAATCACAACGATAAGGTTTCGTTTCTTCTTACCACAAGAGAATCTTGTGAATTTTTGAAAATGCGTTTCAAAGGATATCGTGCTGTAAGAATAAAAGAGCTTGATGAGCAATCCTCTTCAGACCTTGTCCAAGTATTGCTTCCAGAAGCAAGCAAGTCTGATGGATTAAAAGTTGCAAAGAAATGCGGGAGCGTACCACTGGCAATGAAGTTGTTGTGTTCCTTGATTTCGGAGGATGGTACAGAGACATCAAGTGAGTCTATTAACATGTTCTTGAATACTTCAGACAACATTCTGGAAATGTTGGATAACCCAGACTACCCCAGTAATATGAGGTTGAAGTGTCTTTTTGACGCCTCGTTTCAGAAACTTTCTGCAAAGGAAAAAGAAGCACTGGTCTCACTTTCCATTCTTCCCGAACACTTTGACAAGGAGACCGTATCAGCTGTTTTAGGAATGAATTCAATCCACGCCGTACAAGTTCTGAAGAGACTCAAGAGAACGTCTCTCATTGATTTTAGTTCGAAAGCCGAGGAATATTCCATTCATAAGCTCATACTGTCATTTGTGCAGGAAAAAGGGGAAAGTGAGATGAAAGAAACGGTTCTCAACTCCAAAGTACGCTATTTCGAACTGTATATTTCACTATTCGAGAGGCTAACAGAGACGTTCCTGACAGGATATTCTATGTCGGCTTACCTTGAGTATTTTAAGAATGAGGCAAGATTCATTCAAAGTCTTATTGACGGTTGCCAGGAGGAAAGAACAGTCAGGAAAGTCTGCAATGCCTTGATTAAAGCAGAAATGTTTGTCTGCTTTCTTTAAAACCTTCTAGAAGCGTGCACTGGATATCCGGTTAAAAGCTCTGGGTGAAGACCATTCACAAACCGCTGACAGCTATCATCAAGTAGGAGTTACTCAACATTCGCTTGGAGACTTTGTCTCAGCCCTTGAGTCAAACAAGCATGCACTGGATATCCGGTTAAAAGCTCTGGGTGAAGACCATTCACGAACCGCTGACAGCTATCATTCCTTAGGAGTTACTCAACATTCACTTGGAGACCTTGTGTCAGCCCTTGAGTCAAACAAGCGTGCACTAAATATCCGGTTGAAAGCTCTGGGTGAAGACCATTCACAAACCGCTGGCAGCTATCATTCCTTAGGAGCTACTCCACATTCACTTGGAGACTGTGTCTCAGCCCTTGAGTCAAACAAGCGTGTACTGGATATCCGGTTAAAAGCTCTGGGTGAAGACCATTCACAAACCGCTGACAGCTATCATTCCTTAGGAATTACTCCACATTCACTTGGAGACCTTGTCTCAGCCCTTGAGTCAAACAAGCGTGCACTGGATATCCGGTTAAAAGCTCTGGTTGAAGACCATTCACGAACCGCTGACAGCTATCATGAAGTAGGAGTTACTCAACATTTACTTGGAGACTTTGTCTCAGCGCTTGAGTCAAACAAGCGTGCACTGGATATCCGGTTAAAAGCTCTGGGTGAAGACCATTCAGAAATAGCTGACAGCTATGACTCGTTAGGAGTTACTCAACATTCACTTGGAGACTTTGTCTCAGCCCTTGAGTCAAAGAAGCGTGCACTGGATATCCGGTTAAAAGCTCTGGGTGAAGACCATTCACAAACCGCTGAAAGTTATCATTCGTTAGGAGTTACTCAACGTTCACTCGGAGATCTAGTCTCGGCCCTTCACTCAGCTAAACGTGCACTCGATATCAGAATAAAGGTCCTTGGGGAAGAACATTCAAGAACCGCCGACAGTCGATTTATGGTGAAGTATATAGAAAAGTCTCTGTCAAGAAACTCGTGAAGTTGCAGTTGAATATTTATATATGCCTGCGCAGGTTCAGAGATACGGCGGTTGTGACTTTTCCGAGGATAATATTTTAATAATTGTGTTACGAGGCAGCATGACTATCGTATAAAAGTTTAAAACTAATTGAATTAGAAATAGAAAGAAGAACAACATATTTTTTTTGCCATTTTCGCCGTTCCGCATAGGTAAATAGTACAGCGAAATTACAAACCTAAAACAATAGATATATTATAAAGTCGTTATGATATAAATTCTTTTACTACTTTTTCTTTTTAGCGCAGTCAATATTTGATAAATTTTCCTTTTGTAACTTCAAAAGGTTTGTTTTGCGCATAGTTGTTTATATCCTTCGCGTGTCCGATTGTAACTGCCAGTTTTGGAAATATAAACTAATGAAATAAGTTTTTCAGTATGTTTATAGCTGCTATCGTTGTTTTCACCTTCGTAATATCCATCAATCTGTTGTTTTCGCACGGAATTGTGATGAAGTCATAACGCAAGAAGCGAATCTTTCTCCTTAGGAGTTACTCA